CGTCACCTTCGGCGGAGCTTCAAGGCAGGTGTACACGTCTTCACTCTTGGTGCTTCTTGTGCAAAGATGATGCAACGATCGAAAGGTGCGTGCCTGCAAAGTGGACTCTGAAGAAGGTGGACGTCCATCCCGTCGGCAGGTGATCCTTGGCTTTAGCGAGCAAACAGGTGTAAGGCTTGCAACCTTTGTGCAAAAGCTGTACCCAAGCTCCTGCACTGCACTCACTGAAGAGCAAGTGCAATGCCTCACCCCTCCCATGGCCAGGAGCTTTCGAAATTGAAAATGCAATTTGCACCGCCCTTACCCACAACACCCCTCGAAGCTGCATACTTTGCAAATTGCAGCGATTCTGCAATTCCAAGGGGATGGGATTGCAAGCTTGCGCAGAGGCTGTACGTGAGCGCTGCAGTCACTGAAGGCCTCCTCTCCATCCTCAGGCAAGGCTCCCAGTTCTTGTGGGGAGTCCACTCCATGTCGTGTCCCCACCTAGGCTGCGGTTCCCACGCATGATGACACAGAGTCTTTGTAGAGCGCACCCAATCAGAAGCCTGGTCGTCTCTCGCAAGGAACAAACTTGCGGCGAGAGGCATGTGCACGAAGCGATTGTGATTGGCTTGGTGGAAGGCGAGTGTGGCACCCAGCATCACAGACTGCCACCAGATGCCAATTCAAACTTGACCGATCACAGCAGAAGCCAACTCAGCAAAGAATGCAGCAGCTGGGTCACCCCTGAATGAGGAAATACCACCAGCAGTCCTGGCAGCGGTGGCCCCGCAGAACGTGGCCAGCGTTGCAGCTTCCGCAGTGTTCGTGATGCTGCGGCAGGGGATTGGCGGGCTGATGGGTCGAAGGCGGGACTTGATAGCTGGAAGGCTGGGACCTGGTTGGAGTGCTCCCTTTTGATGGCACAATGATGTCCAATGTCTTGCCGCAGGTCGTCTGTGGCTTACAGCAAAAGTATGTAGATCTACACTGACCTTACCAAGCCCAACCAGAACAGGCCAAAGCCCTGAACCCTGGTGCACCCGGCGATGATGCTGGGCGACACAGGACCCGCAAATGCGGTTCCGCCCTCCAGTGCAGCCATAGGCCTGTCAAGGCAAGTTGGACAGCTGTCAGACTGGACAAAGCATGCCAAAGCGCTCTCGGCTCTGAAGCTCTTAGTCCCTGAACCTTGCAGTGATGGCCGTGCATGTAATAGCCAGGGTTGCACGAAGCACAGTGATTGTTGACCTCGGCGCTGCGCATCCCTCAGAAGCCTTTGATCAGTTCATCTGCTTCTTCGCTGCAAGTAAACGCACAAGCGCAGTTCCCAACTTGCACTACATCGTGCCAAGTATTGTCTGCCCAAGACTCGTTGCCAACACAACTTGGAAGGAATCCCCAAAACATCGAAAAGGATGGGAACGCCGGTTTTCTAGTTCATGGTCTTAGCTCGTGCGGTGTTGACCTGCTGTCATCCAAAGGGAACAGTTGCGCCAATCATAGCAAGTCGCAGTGCGTCTTGGAGTCGAAGGTTTGGAAGTGGGATGCATGTCTTGCTGGTACTCTACAGGTGCTTGCCAGTAAACGCAAGCAAAAGGGGACCCTCCTAATGAAAGTGAAGAAGATACCTCAACAAACCATCCTGCGATTATCCGTAACAGAGGCTTCCCCCGCCGCAACTCCATGGGATGAACAAAAAAGAATCTTCAATGTTCTACGCGACGCAATTAGACAGGGGAAGATGCCTTTTCAAGTTATTCTAGTTTACTGGTTTCCGATCACAATTCGCTGCATAATCAGAGAAAAATGCCACGACAAGGAGGAGGAAATACATTCACCTCCGGAAGAACCTCCGCAAGAACAAGAAAGCTAAAGCCGCAAGGATCTTCATCTTGTCCCTTCCTGGTGACAGAGAAATCACCAGGACACATCCTTCCAGTTGTGCAGATAGCTACAGATGTTTGCATGCCCGCTTTGAATCTTGTGAAAGGAGTGAAGCTTTGCCATGATTGGCAAGCATGTCCAGCATCACCTACAGGATAGAGTGATCCGCATCTCTGTCTGTGCCTATTCTAATTCTCAGCATACCCGAGTGTTACTTACTAGGCCGCCTCATCCTGGAAGCTGGAAGTTAGCCTACTGTAACAACGCACGTTCCTGCGGGGATTGTTGGATTTGAGCAAGCTTCTACCGCGGAGCTTGTTTATGCCCTTCTCATCATAGATGGCACCTCAACAGTTCCTAAAGTTCATCTATCGCTTCAAGATATGATCGATCGAGAAGCTCTGAGACATCTCTAGCGCCGGCCTAGCGGTTTCATAGCGCTACACTGGTGATTCAGAGCATTCTTCTGTGCGCCGCCTCATGTCGAAGATTGAAAACGATTCCAATCATCTTGTGTTATTCATTCTTTAGAAGCTGCAGATACGCGAATTTTGGACGTGGTTCGCGAAACACCTGCCATCTGAGCCACCAACCTTGCGATTCCATGGATTTTGGCAGGTCTTGCAGTTCCCGCCGCCTCCTGTGGCGCACGGTCTGACCTGGCGGCTTGACCCGAAACTTACATGCTGCCAACAATGCGCAAACATGCGCAAACCCAGTCTGAAGGCCTCCAGTACATGGAACATTTGCCTGAAGCCGTTCCACAGCGAGACACGTATATTTCTGCAAACGCCTTACCACTTCCGGTCTGAGAAATTGAGGACATGACCAGGTCCAGCCACCCGGCAAGTGGTCCGGAGCCTGGCATTGAAAGGCTTCAAAAACTCCTGCGCTGATGAACTGAAATGAGTGCACCTTTCCGGGACTGATGCACCCGTCGCCATGATGGCACATGGACACGAAGCCTCACTTCACTCGGAGGCTCTGCTGTCAAAAATTTCCTCAAGTCAGCCCAAGCATCAAAGCGAAAAACAAGACCACCTGTCGCCATATCTGCCAAATGCTTCAGGGCACGGTTGTGCCAGGGGTTGTGCAGCGCAATTCGGCCGTGACCTCAAGGCTGCAAGGCTGCTGTGAATGCGTCATGCTCTGGTTGACTCTGGTTGACTCTAACGAAGCTGCTTCACGAGGGCGCGTCATGATTGGCAACTGTTCACACCCTGGTGGCCTGCGTCGATGACCGTGAAGCGCTCAGCACCCCAGCCGCCAGGCCTTCGCAGCAACGCCAACCACGAAAACATACTTGCAAATTTGGTGCACTGTCTGAACAGTACCGTAAAGTCCAGTGGATCATGCCTTAGTAGGCCACTGGGGCAAATCTGACTTACTGCTCTTGAGGATGCCTGCTTCTTTGAGGTATTCTTGACATTAACTCCTAGCCGTGACCACTGGCACGAGAGCGGGCTTCCTACAAATATGAAGAAATGATAAGAAATTGGAAAAGCCCTTTGAAGGGCTGAAGCCAAGAGACAGTTGATTCCAGTTGCGGTGAGGCGATCGATGCATGTCCTCATCCATCTACCAATCTTACAGACAACACCTCGCAACATGTCACAACATGACCCTTGACGAGCTGTGATCTGCACAGAGGTTTGCTGCAGCACGCTATTGCGCATCCACAGGAGCCAGAAGACTCTAGGATCGAATAGACGAACCCCCACACATTAGCATGCAAAAAGTGGGATGCAAGGCAAGGTACATGGCTCATTTTGACGAAGCGGTTGCTGGCCGCGCTGTGCAGAGCAATTTGACCAAAGCCCGCATCCACCACCTTTTCCAGCTTTTGGCATGACAGGTGTTGCTTTGAGGATATTCAAGGCCGTCTGCTCCATCTTCAATGCGGATCTGCTCTGCAGTAAGTAGATGAAGTTCTGAGGCTGTAGGTCTTTTGCTGAGTGCAGTTGACACCATCGTAACCCCAAGAGCCAAGCTCAACTTTGAGGGACTTCCTGAGGCAACGACCCGGAAGAGCTCCCAATTCCAGTTGGCAGGGAGGTGGTGGAGGTGCTTCCTTCAAGAGGGCCAGGCAGCGGGTACAAATAGCAATTTTAGGCTTAATCTCTGCGTGGCAAAAATACTGACCGCCATGAGGTCCATGGAGGTTGCGCATTCTCTAAGATGTTGCTTATGTATGGGGCCATAACCTCATCATGTTGACTTAGGACATTCCACCTATGCGCCAAGCAGTTTGCCCCAAGCTTGTCAAGAGTCGTGCCAGCGGCATCTATTCGATCGTGGTGAGCGTTCATCCGCATGAATCGATTGTGGACTTGATTCCTTGGACAGCAAGAACTCCTAGTTGATCACGTTTTTTAATCTCAAGACTGCATTGCTCCAGGCAACGACGTTCAAGCTTTAAGAAGATCCTGCAGATGAGGTACCAGAGTGCCACAATGGTGTGAGGCCTGAGCAAGGCCTTGGCCAAGCAAAGTGTGCAGGATCACTTTACTGCTTCTGCTGCTGCTCGGCTTATACCGCTACCACCACCACCACCACCACCACCACCACCACCATCACCACCACCACCACCACCACCACCACCACCACCACCACCACGACGTAAACAAGCCTCAAGAATCTAAGTCCCTAAACCCTGAATAACCCCAAGCCCTCAAGAACCTAAACCCAAACAACCCTAAACAACTAACGACCCTAAACAACTCCAAACCTTGAACAACCCCGAACCCTTCACAACCCTAAGGCCACGCACGCATTCGAAGCCAATAAGACTATGAAGTTTGCGAACGGGGGTGGCAGCGAAGCCCTTCAATCCCGTTGCTAAGTAACCGCTTCAAGTAACCCTTAGCTCTCCTAAAAACTTCAAACAGCCCGAAACTCTCATCTCCCAACAACCCTAAACAAATCTATACCCTAAACAACCCCAAACAAACCGCCAGACCACCCCAAACCCTAGCTTCAGAACTGCAATACATCACCAGTAACAGCAGCCGTGGCAAGAGTGTTTCTGTGCCTCCCACGAGCGCCACAAATGTTGCGTATGCGGAGTATGCTACTAGAATCACTAGTAGTGCTGCAAATACAATACGACCACTAGTACAATTCATACAGACTGATACTAGATCATCATTAATAATAGTATTAGGACGCCGAGGACGACTGCAACTTGGATTCGCATAGTAGTAGCAGCAAGAAAAATGGCAGTGACAGCTGTAGCTGAGGCAGCGGGAGGCAGTAGTAGCAGTGGTGATGGTGGCGATGGCAGTGTTGGGGGCGACGGTTTTTCTGGACTGCAGCCAAAGCACCGACATGGGGCGGAAGCGCTCCCAGCCCCAATTCCCGGGCAGATCCTTTTGCAAAGCAAGCTGAGGCCACAGAGGAACAGAACTATCAGGCACCCTTCACCAATGCTCCCAAAGCTTGCATGCCCAGCATCCCAGGCGTTGCGGTGCGAACTGGTATCCTCAGCTTCAACACTGTAGAGGCCCGCTAATCACTTTGGCCAAGCCGAATTCCAGTTCTCTCGAGGCAAAATCAACAAAGCGCAGATCGGGAAATGAAGTAGAACAGCAAACTCTCGTCAAGCTTTTGAGGAGCAAGCAACCCATCACTTGCGTCCGTGCATCCATATGATGACGGTTCGGCATGCGCATGTACTTGTTGTGTGCCCGGTTGTGAAAGGCCACCTAGAAAGGGGGAAGGAAACCGGTCCTTGCGCACCCCTTGTTCTAACGGAAGATCCAAGCTGATCAAGGCTGGAGCAGTAGGTCTGATTGGCTGTGCCTGTGCTGACACCTTACCATTGGATGTTCAACCTAAGCTTCTGACGTATCTTTGCGAAAATGACCACCAAGGACGCACAGGAGTTCCCGTTTATTTGGCTAATGCTTTGGGCTTGGACCCCCCCGCCTCATATGCACCGCCGTGGACTGCCGTGAAGGTTTCCCAGCTCCTCCTCCATGGTGCTCCATCCATGTCCTACGACGGCCCAGGGATATGTCAAGGAAACATTGAGCTTAGCTTCTCGGCCTAAGACGTTCCCCAAATCTGCAGCTTGCACTGGAAACCCACACAAGCAACCCGGTCGTTGTTGTTTCTCAGCCGGATCCACCTGTTCTCCCTCGGGTTGTGCAAGCCGATCTTGGCGTCACCTTTAGCAGGCTTCAGGCTTCTGATTTTTGGAAGCTTGGCTTGAAAGATGACCTGGGTTTGCTGTTCCAGGGTTTGGGGCCTGTGCTCCAGCTGGTTCCAGAACCCTCAGAGGCGCATACCAGCGAAGTGGACACGGAAGAAGGTCGAGGTCCAGGTTGCCGGCAAATGGTCCTTGTGAACAGCAACCTTCCCATCAAATGAACACTCTTTGGAGTTTTCTCCCAAGCACGCCAGACGTCTGCACCAGTGGGTCGCTCACGAGCTTTTTGTGAGCTGAATCCAATATTCAGAAAAGGCTCGTAATTCCTGTGTCCGGTCCAGACCAAGTCACTTCCCCACCTTAGCAGGTCTTTGCGTGAACTGCAGGCTGTGGGAAATTGCTTCAATGAGCTGAACGTTCCCACTATGTCATCGAGACAATGACGATTGCTTTGTTGGTGTCTTCTCTACCCAATCATCTGAAATTGCGGTTGCGACTGCTGCTACACTATGTGATATATAAGCAGTCATGAAGTACAGTCACGTCTGCTACTGGGATCCGATGACCCTCCAAGTGGCATGTTCACGAAGCGGTTGTGGTGTCGCTGATGGAGGCCAATCGTGGCACCGAGCATGATGGACTGTCAAAAAACTGCTTCACTTTTGGTTGTCAGCACCATTGAAAATGCTCACGCTCAGGAGAACCCTCAAGTCTGAACGGCTCAACAAATTCAGATCTAGCCCGCCCGTTTCCGCCCATCCTGGCAGCGGTGACCGCGCAGAACATGGCCACCGTCGCAAGTTCCGCAGTGGTCGTGATGCTGCGGCAGGGCTTGTGGCATCTTCTGGGCTTTGCAAACGCTGAGGAACCTGTAGTGAAACGTATTTCCTGCCTTACCAAGAGATCAAGGAGCTACGATTAACAATGACGCAAAAGGATGCACCCGCGCTGATAACGCTGATAAGCTCGCTCTACAACTGACCCGTTCCCACCCGACGGTGGTGCTGGGCGACGCATGCGTGGCAAATGCGATCACGCCCTCCTGTGCAGCCGAAGGCCTGCCAGTGAGCAGTGCATGCTGCCAGACATCTGAAAACTACACCAGAAGGATGATCTCACGGCTTCAGAACGTCATGTCGCTTAGCCATGGGCCCCTGCAGCTTGAACCTCCAAGGCCCAAACCCTGCAGTGGTGCCCGTGCATGTAGTAGCCAGGGTTGCATGAGGCGCAGTGGTTGTGAACCTCGTAAAACATTTCATCAAGTCTGGTCAAGCGAAAGAGGCTAATTCAAGACATGAAAGGCAGGAGACGCAGACACAAAGGATGTAATCCCAACTGATGAATGTAAAGTTAACTACCGTGAGAGGATAGGCCTAAACCTTGTCTGAGAATCAGAAGTCACACTTTGACAGTGGGCAGGCCCACGAAGTCCCTTTGATCTTCTGATGTCGATGAGTCACTGGCTGCCTGCGAGGACTGGATTAAAACCGTTGTCACACTTGAGAACTAGGGAATTGCATGGAGTTGCCCCCCAAGGCTGTTTGGAGACGGAGGAAGAAGCCAAAGCAGTTGAGGAGGAGGCTGAACCATGTCTGGACAGATTGAGTTCAAGCCGGGCTCCGGACCTTTCGTTTCGATGGCGATTGGCAGGTCTTGCAGTGCCCACCGCCGCCAGTGGCGCAAGGCACGATCTGGCAGCTGATATGTGGAAATTGGAGTTCCAGCATGGAGTACAAGTCAGCCGATGTGAAGTGTCACGTCTCAAGTGTTTGCATGCCAACCAGCCTCCACCACGTGGAACATCTGCCTCCGTACGGCTGCATGGGTAGCATGCAGGCTCTGGAGGACAGTGCTGGGCATCAAATCTTAGGAATGTTAAGGTCTTGGCCATGTCCAACCACCAGGGAGATGGTCCGGGGCCTGGACTGAGCGAAGGTGGCTCTACCCTCGCCAAGTAGGGGCAGGGAGAACACAGCAGTCCAACAATAATTGACATGCTAGAGCACTACCAACTATCAGTCTGAAAAACAAAACCCAGCGCAGATCACACATACTGTCAAGACAACCCAAGCGCGCCCTCCCGGGACTTTTGCAGCCATCGCCATGGTGGCACATGGACACAAAGCCTGAGGGTGTGGACTTCGAACTGACTGCCAAACACGCAAAATGGCTTTGTACTTGTGCAGACTTAAATGCAAACGCGTCTTCGAATTAGCTTCTCTCCATTCCCGATGCAGAACGCCCTTCAGTGGAGAAAGGCCACGAAGGCAGGCCATATCAGTCACATGCATAACCTCGTCCGAAACGCAGGGACCCCTAGAAAGGATTTTAATGCTTCAGGGCACGGTTGTGCCAGGGGTTGTGCAAAGCCACCCGGCCATGACCTCGAGGCTGCAACGAAGCTGAATTGGACAAGGGCAACTGAGGCTTGGGCTACAGCGGCTACATGTTACAGACAAGAGTAAGGCAAAAAACCTGTTTGCGCCCGGGTGGCCTGCGTCGACAACCGTGAAGCGCTCAGCACTCCAGCCGCCAGGCCTTCAGAGCGATTGAGGTCATGGCGTACTGACTAGATGCTCTGTATAAACCTGCGCACCCCGAACATGCTGTAAGACTTCCATTTCAGCATCATCTGTCCTACCCATGACCACTTGCAAGCTGCACTGTGAAATCACGTCCGGCTGTTGGGGAAAGCTGCCGCGGCAAAAGAAGTCTGTGCCCCACTACCTTTCGCTGAGCCACGTCAACCCTAAGCCCCGACACCAGCCGTGTCTCCTTTCCCATCTTCTTCATCCGCTAAGCTCGTTCTACGCGGAAATTACATCGCCCAGTCGCAGTTGATTCCAGTTGCGGTGCGGCGAGCGTTCCATATCCTTTGAAGAGCTGAAGAACCCAAGCAGGGATCCCAAACCCAGCTTCGAGCTGTTGGGCAGACAGCCACTGCTGACAAACCCTTCCTCACCGATTTGATTTGTGAGCCTGCATCTGCCTCAAGAAAAACACATGGAACCCTTTCCAAAGTCGCGCAGCGTGAAACTCTGAAAGTGCAGCTGCCAAGGTTCACCGCCCATTTTGACGAAGCGGTTACTGGCCGCGTTGTGCAGAGCAATTTGACCAAAGCCAGCTTCCACCACCTTTTCCAGCTTCTGACATGACAGCTGTTGCTTATGTTGCTTTGAGGATGTTCAAGGCTGTTTGCTCCATCTTCAATGCTGATTCGTTCTGCACATGCAACATGAATTGATAGAGGAGTGAGAATGTGCTCAGCACGGAGTTGAGACTGCATTGACTTTTACCTTTAGATGACTCTCTGAGGCAGTGACCCGGAAGCGCTCCCAGTTCCAGTGAGCAGGGAGGTGGTTGAGGTGTTGCCTTCAAGGGACACAGCACAGGTGCAGCACAGGTAGCAACCTTGGGTTGCATGTCGGTATAGCATGGGAGATGCTGTCGCACAGGGCTCTTCGACAGCACTTGTTTGAACGATTACAACTTGCTGTAAGTTTGTCAAGGGTCCTGTGAGCCGCATCCATTCTGTTGTGGTGACCGTTCATCCGCATGAAGCGATGGTGGGGCTCATTCCTCGGCTCACTTGAAATGAGATTAATGCAGAAGCCTGCTACACTGGCAGCTCCCAGCACGATTGCAGGTCGTTTGTTGTGCTGGGCCCATCATGGCTCTCAGGCAAAAAACTAGCAATGGCAAATGGCTTGAAGCGAGATTGAGCTGTCAAGAAAAGAGACCACAGCGCGACGATAGTGTTGGGCCGCAGCAGTGCCTAGGTGATGGCAAGCAATGCAAGCGGCAAGGCTGGCAGGAAATCTGCTTCTTTGCAAGCTAGGGCGCTGAGATCGGGCGGAAGCGCTCCCATCCCCAGTTGTGAGGCAGGTCCTCCCCATTGCTGCGACCGCTGTGGGTTAAGCGCAAGTCACCGGCACGCGCCTATAACTCTTGCTCTAATGACCCAAACTCAAACCTCAGAGCCAGCCTGTCAGGCTCTGCCTGCATGTTCCCAGAAAGCTGTGAGAGACCCGGTGCGCAAGCTTCCAAAGAGAGCTTTCAAGAGGTGCATTCTGGCTCCGGTCCCAAGCATTGCGATGTCCGCTTGTGTCCTGAGCGTTGCACATGACACCAACAACACGTTCACCAAGAAATACAACTCCGCATGTAAGAGCTGCAAAAGAACAGTCTCTCATATAGGAATCTGATGGCACATCAGCTCTAGGGTGAGACTTTGGTTTGACGTGTGTTCATAGTCTGAAGCAGCAGACTGCTGGTGTACCTCGAACTTGAAATCAGAAGGGCCTGTATCTGCTGCAGCTGCTGCGTCCAAGGATCCATGTGGTGACGATTCGGCATCCGCATGTACTTGTTGTGGGGCCGATTGTGGAGAGCCACCTTCAAGAAATTCCCTCTTCTTTCGGAACCCTAGCTCAGCTCTTGGTCAGGGGCAGTGCTCAACTTGCAGGGGCATTCTGCTCGAAGCGTAGCACAAACAACTTCACTGGGCTTCATATTATGCTGAAGCTGAATACTTTCGCAACAAAGGGCCGAACCCTTCTCTTCCGGCCTGCCCCGCACCCGCATTGACTGCAGTGAAGGTCTCCCATGACCTCCTCCATGGCGCGCCGTCCATGTCCTGCAAAGAGCGCTGCATGAGTTGAACAATGTTCGGTGTTGCGCCTGTTGCCCTGTGACAATCGAAATGACAGAAGCACCGCACAGAGCATCCAGAGCATGCAAAGATCGGTCGTTGTTGTTTCGTAGCCGGATCCACTTGTTGAAGCGCGGATTGTGCAGCCCAACCTTGGCATCACCTTGGGTAGGACTGGGTGGCACTGGCATCAATTAACTCGATTGAATGCAAATCCTCAAGGTGCATACCAGCGAAGTGGACCCGGAAGAAGGTCGACGTCCAGGTTTTCGGCAGGCTGTTCTTAGTTTCATGAACCCATCAAACTCGTTTTGAACTCGTTAGAAAATTGGTTTCTCCTGGTGCGGCCCCTTGAGGAGTTGTGGACCTTCAACGCGATGCATGAAACCTTCCACTCATCGATACAAACGAGCAGAAGCGCAGGCACACATAACGCCGTAACCTACATCCTCGGCTGGCTTAGCAAGTTTGCCAACCTGGACTTCGCGCACTGTCAAAGGGGGTTCTGAAATGTTACGTCAAGCCCGCAACGCTGGAGCTCTGGTAAAGCTTGAACCCGCAGGCCTTAGGCACAGTTGAAAATCAATACACTTTCTGCAGCCCAGCAATCCCAATTCCGATGCCCAGTCCAAACCAGGTCTGATCCCCACCTGAGATGTATTCAAATGCTTGGTGACAAGGTGAATTTTCACGCCAAAAGACAAGGCTTGAATGCGGAGCATAGGCTATGCCCTCACACCGATCGGCAGAGGGCCGTGGTGTTAGCTGCTCGTGTGGATCTTGGAAATCAACATCTAAACAAGTTGGCAAAGAGGACCATGTCAAAATACGACACTTCCTATTGTGGTCCAAAAGGCTTGCCAGAATAAGCCTGCTTAAGACTCCAAATAGTTATTGGCAGCGGTTCAGACTGACACAAAGATCAAGGCTGATCTGACATTGCGCCGGGCCGCATCTGCACAAAGCGATTGTGATTTGCTTGGTGGAGAGCCACCGTAGCTCCCAGCATCATGGACTGCAGGGCAGTGCTCACAAAATGGAAGGAGGGGATGCCCTTTCGGCAGAGTTGCAAACTCTTGTCCTTAAAAATGTTAACACCAGTCAGTCCTGGCAGCGGTGGCCCCGCAGAATGTGGCCAGCGTCGCAGGTCGCGCAGTGGTCGTGATGCTGCGGCAGGGCCCACAAGGTTGAGGATAGCAAAGAATTGAGATTCGGGGGCTGGGGCCCTTATGGTGTGCCCGCAGCCAGGCTGTCTGCAGCTCAGAATAGATCTCGAGCTGGAATAGGGGACCCACTTCTATAAGTTTCACGCTCCGAAATGAAATGCGACAGCAACAACCCCGAGCAAAGCACATAGTACATCCCTGAAGTTTGCCAATGCATGGTCCACCCGGCGATGGTGCTGGGCAACGCAAGAGCTGCAGATGCGGTCGCGGCCCCCTGTGCAGCCGAAGGCCTGATGGCCATCTCACAAACATGCTAATTTTGGCATATGCATCAAATTCCCAGCAGATAAGGTGTCTCAGGAACCGGCCCTGCAATGGTAGCCGTGCATGTAGTAGCCAGGGTTACAGGATGCGCAGTGGTGGTGTACCTTGGATCTCATCAAAATTTCTGCTGAAGGATGCAGCCGTTCACCCGGGACTAGCTGTGAAAAGAATCAACTCGAGCACCCAGCCAAGGAGGCATTAGCTCTTGCTCCAAAGCTGGGCTCTGCCAACCCAGCTGCCAGCAGGATGATGCCATCTATACGTAAATCAAAATGAATGGACTCCCCATCTTCCTGACTTCTTCATGCTCTCCGTACTGCAGGATCAGAAAAACGATATACAAACTCGCCAAACTCGTCGATGTGTGCAGTGTTTCCTGTGGATTGAGCCGTTGTACATAATTATGATATGTGAGACATGCGCATATTCACAAAATTCCACAGTTGATTCAGTTTGCGCATTCAAGGGCAATTGCACATCAACTACACTCAGCTAGGATTCGATTGCTTCAATGAGGGCCTGGCCTTTGTATGATATCTAAGATGTGCAACAAAAACTAAGCTGGGAATCCACGCTTCATAGGTGGTCCTTGTCTTCATTTAAATATAATTAATCAACTAGATTCGTGAGTTCTTTGTAACGCCTCGTTGCCCTCATTCTTACCGAACACTGTGTCATGCTCAAAAACTGTAAAAACCCAACTTCTGGACTTTGTTGAAGACTTACATGTTTCGTGACCCCACCAGCCTGACCCTCACCGAGCACTCTCAAGCTATGTCAGGCTTACAGAGCTTTAGCAATTGAAAGTTCTGAGCATCTACGGATGACCTGGCTCCAAAGTGTTGGATTTGAGATTTTTGCGGCATTAAAATGCTCTGAGGCCTCACCGTCACCAAATGACATAAGACGACGTTATATCTAAATGGGTGCAGAATTAATTTGGGATTTTTTTTGGTTTATTTTGGGATTTTTTTTTG